GGTCGGGATGCTGGGGGTCAGTATGCATTTGTTCAGGCAGGGAAGAAAGTTCCAGGATTCCAGCAGATTCATTTCCCTCAGCTCAAGGCAAACTGCAGCCTGTGGTGTGTACCCAGGTGTCTTTCTGTTGTGTCTCTGGGATAGAAGCATAGGTTTGTCTAAGGGATGTGAAACTGAAGAGATCTCTGTTGAAAACAAGTGAATGCAGACCTAGGAAGTCAATGCTTCTTAAGTTGATTTTTTGTTATGCTTAATGTTTTCTATGATGTGAATCAATCTGAAGACTCCGGATAGACCTTTTAATCATTATTCTGACAGTTATTTTGCTTTTGGTTTGGTGTTTGGGATTTTTGGTGTTATTGTGGTGCCCTACACACATTTCTAGATCCAGAAAGCTTGTGTTAGTCTGAAACCCCTTTTAGTGGCATTTAGCAATGGTTGAGAACAGCAGAGGTGTCTAACTGAAACAATAGATAGAACCAGCAGGGGAAAGAGACAACTGGTTCTTGTTAATGCCCTTTTCTCCAAAAGATGTGTTTTGAAGCATACACCTGGAATCACTGCTCCGAAGTACCCAGGAGAGATCAAAAAGCCCTCCTAGTTCCTTGCTTCCCCAAGCACAGAAAGAAAATCAAGACAGTGTTTCAGTGAATGGAACAATGAGGTCAAGAGAATACAGAAAATCTGCTCCTTGTTAGAAGAAACCTTTTTTACTTTCAGCTCTGATCCCACCCCTAGCACACACACAATTTAACAGCCTCATTAGAAAGATTCCTCCTTTCCCTCTTCTCCCCTCGGGAAGAGCAGGGCTCCAGCTAGCCCCCGGGGCCCCTGCTCTGCACTTGCAGAGCACGATGTGCTCCTTCCTTTTCTGGACCTTGGGTGAAGCTTTTCACTACCCTACAGCACGAGGGGATGCTAATTCAGGCAGAGCACACGTCGGACCAAGCTCTGATCTCAGACACCCACACAATTCCTGTCGTAAGTCACATGTGTGCACATTTCTGACAGCAGGATATGCCCACTTGTGCTCTGTCTTAATGCATCAGCAAGAGTGGTGTGGCTGCCTTTTTAAGAGAAGCAAAAGTGGAAAGAAATGATTTTTCCAAAGCTTGGGGGCATAGGCAGACTGGTAATGCTGCTCCAACTGAAACCCAATGGTTAAAAGACACAGGTTAAGCAAACCAAAGATACTAAGATAATTTTAGTCCTTTCTCATTCAAAAGGGATTTTAAGACTGGCTCATGTCCAGGGAAACTCTCTATTTCTCATATGGTTGGAGGGGCATATTTCAATTTGAAATTACCTATGGGAAAAAAATAGCTCAATTGCTGTTATTTAATAAAGTTTTCTGAGCTAAGATTAGCAGTTTTAATAACTTAATTCTGAGGAGTAGGCTTCATTCTTACAGCCAAGAACGTCTGAGTACTCTTCTAGGCATTTATCTAGGGATGGTAGCCCTTTATCTATCTTTTTTTTTGGCGGATGTTATTTAAGGGTGATAAATAACTGACATGTGGAAAAGCAGTACAGTGTAAAAGTGTATAGTAGAAAAATGTAGAGTAAAAGTGTAGCTGGAAGTCAGCACTACTGAAAATGTTGAGAGAACTAACTATAAAATTGATTTTTGATGTGTGAAGGAATACACAAATACAGTCGTATGAATAACACTATCAGATCTTCTAGAAACACAAATATGAAATATTTTGATAATAATTCTTAAAAGACAGAAAGATAATGCAGTCAGAAAGAGGGGAATTTAACTTCTGGCTTTGCTGGCATTCCCTCAAATCCACGGCAGATTGGCTGGGTTTCTTTTCCACAGTCCTAATTTCACCTGGCTACTGGAAGTCACTATTTTCCCAGTTTAAGTGGTTTCAGAGTATTAGGGAAGCAAAAGAACATAACTGGGCAATAAGATCTACTGCTGTCTGTTTCAGAAACTATTGCCAGTAAGAGAAATGCATATATTTGATCAAGGACTGCTTCTCAGAAGTAGAAACATTAATTTAAAGCAAGGCTTGAGAACATTTAAAAAACTGAGCTTGTAAATGGGTTAGACCATAAGAGATCACACCATACAATTTAAAAAATGGGAACACTATACAACAAAAAAGCTGAGGTAAATCCCTGTACAAATGGAGCTGAGTTTTCCAACCCCCCAAAAAGGTACACTCACGAGTAAAGAACTCCTGACAGAAAGAGGCTGGAGCTGCATGATGAGTAAACAGGAAACTGGAGACAGAAAAGATAGAATGGAAGGAGTTTGCTGCCATATGTGAGAGCAGTTACCCTAAATCACTTCTTGGTTCTGAGCTAAGATTAGCAGTTTTAATAACTTAATTCTGAGGCATAGGCTACATTCTCACAAGCAAGAACACTACAGTGATCTTCTGGATATATATCTAGAGATAAAAGTAATTTTTCTATCTATTTTTTTCTCCCAATAATCACAACAAAAGATGAAACCATAAAACCCCCCACCTCTGCAGCTAGCATGACAATATAGAATATGAAATTTGAAGTTTTGCTTTTCACATCTTGAATATTTATTATTATGCTTTTTGCTTATATACACACACAATTTGGTAAGTAGCTCTATCCTGCCAGTGAAAAGGACAGAGCTGTCCAAGTCACAGTGTACAAACAAGCCATTTTTTCCCCAAAACCCTTTTTTGTTGCCAATTCCACACTCTGTCAGTGTCTCTGCATCTATTTCCAGGAGTGAAATTATCAGGGCTATTCCCCAGTGAGCTGACACTTTTGTGGCCTATCTGGAAGAAGTAGCTGTCAATTTTTTTCCCTCCCATTTCAAATGATGTTTGCTCACTCTGTGGTCATTTGAAGATGTGTAAATGATTATTGACAAAACAAATTATGGAAAACCAGCTGTTACTGAAAATGTGACTTTAATTATGACTCAGTTTGTACTGTTATACTCTGAGGAGAGGGGCTATGGTAAGAAAATTCTGCTTTCTGATACACTTTATTATCTGTTTAGAATAGATTTTTAGTGATTTATAATACAAGTTGAATTACCTATAATGTCTATTTAGAGAAAAAAACAGAAGAGCCTAGCTCCACGAAATTCCTTTTTATATGGTGTATGTTTTGTAACTAAGCATATCTGAAGTGGAATAAGTGAAACACAATATCAATTTAAATTATAGCTTTCCAATTTGATCAGATTTTCTATTGTACCATGTTTACCTCTATTTTCTGTACTTCGGTTCAACTGCTTTAGTTTACTGCTTCAGGTTCAGCTGCTGGATCAAATAACTGTACACAGCGCAATGAAAGGTCCACAGAAGCAAATACACAAAGGGGTGATCTGGCCCAAATGCCAGATATTTTCAACAGCAACTAGGAGAGTTCAGATTCAGTCCACTTTAGTTCACTGAAACAACAGCGAGTTGCCAGGCTGCAGTCCACAGTGTACTAAACTGCTACGTTTTATTATTTGATAGTATATATCAAACTCAAATACCAAAAATTGGCACAATGTCCTCTGCCTGTTCCCATTTTTTTTGCAAACACAACAATGAATAGGGTAAGAAAATACAAATAATTAAGTTTGCAGAGTAAAATCTTATGTAGAAAAATCAGCTTAATAGCACCTGATACATGTTCCATTGAAGGGATGCTTCTATAGTATTTTATAGTGACGCAAATGCAAGCATATCACAGCATGCAAATGTGCTATTAATGAAACATTACTATGTGTTACACACATACAACGTAGGACTCTGAAAAGCATACCCTTTCAGTTCTGCTCTGCTAATCCTGAGGACTCAAAGCCATGAGTAGGACCCACAAGTGCTATTACAAAACAAATAATACAGATTTCATTCTGAAGAACAGTTCACAAACTATGTCACTACTTATGATCTGAGTGAACACAAAGTCTCAGCACTGGAAATATTCTGAATTACTATTTGAAGCCTATTAAAGCCATCAATCAGCAGCACCACCAAAACCTGCCTTTTTTTAAAATCAATTCCATTTTGTAGCACAGATTTTTTTAGCGGTGAGTATTTATAACCTAAATTGCAAATACAAGGTTTCTGCCTGCTTTGTGTTTTGTTCCTGACCCAGCGTTATTTTTCCTCCAGTTCTGATCCAACCAGCTATTTAAATTCACCAGGATGTTTGCACGTTTCCTAATTCACTTTATATGTTAGCTAGTACATTCTTTTTCATTTTTTTTTTCTTTTGGCATTCAACACTTCATGTTAAAAAGCAAATTCTCGACTGTAAATGTTGAGTCATCAGTGCTCTGTAGAAGTCCTGTTGCTATTCTATAGAATGGCAAAGAATCTGCCCAGAAGAGATCACATGTCCTGTCATGAGAAGCTACAATGTGACAAAAGTGAGAGAGCTTCTGTATTGATAATGGAGGGTTTGGAGCACACAGTGGGCAGAAGTCCTAACATACTTGAAAAATATTTAACTGAACAATAATGGAGCAATGCCAAATACTAAAAGTTACCAAAGATAATTTTAATTGTTGTAGATATAATAGTGTTCAATGACAGCTGTTTTGGAACAAAAAGGTTATTTCCTGCAAATTATTGTAATATTTTTCTCCCAAAATAGCCCCTGATCCACTCCTAACATTACCTGGCATCCTCTAATGGCTAGCACAGACTAAAAGCCAGTTATTAACTTTATTTTTTAAGAGTTTTAAGATCATAGAGCAAAATAATGATTTACTTGAAAGACTAACAAGAGTCAGTTCAGAAGGGCAGCCCACAAACCAGTGGAATGAATGAAGCATGATGACTTTAAAATAACAGCTACTTCAAGCTGTACTGCCTGACCATATTTTATTTCCTTGTGCTTCTGCAAAACAAAATTCAACAGTCAGTAAGGATTAAAGCTACTGCTTCTCTGCCCAGCAAAATTCCATGCATGTTGGCAGAACATTTTTATGATGAAGATTTAATCACAGAGTAAGCAGATACTGTTTACGCAGTAGTAACTGTCATCTGAGGCCTCTGAGTTCAGCATCTGTGTACATTTACACAAAACTGCATTTGAAAAATATTATGCCCTAACACTACAAATATTTATGTGCTTTTTCACTGTGCTGCTGTCAGTACTCTCACACAGCTACCTGTGAATCCAGGTATAGAAGTCGAGTTTTGTGTGCATTTTATTGGGGTGTACCTCAGTGGTCACAACCTCCATGGAAAGGAAGCAATACAGTTTGTGAGATGTAAGGAAGGAATGCTTCCATGTCATTGTTACATCACTGCTCCTCGTGATTCTTTCAGAACATTACTCAAATGACATTAGTTTAGGATGTGTAGTATTATAATAATGTATGTTAATTATGTAGCGTTATAATAAAAAATATTTACAAAGATAAAAAAGGTTTTAGCAGTCCAACTGCTTTATTTAGTCTTAACTCATTATTGAAAGCCATGCAACCCATCTGCCGCAAAGACTAATGAAGGTATTTCAGTTATCATAATTAAATCTCTAGCAGAGTCTGAATGCCAGCTAACTCTCCTTCAGCCTGTAACAGCTATATCTGTCCTAAAGAATTACAAAATATTTAAAATGCTTGTAAGTATATGCAAGTAAAAAAAAAAAAGGTAGGCCTATAAGAAAAATGGGGCGATACTTTTCAGCAGGGCCTGTTGCAATCAAATGAGAGGTTATGGTTTTAAACTAAAAGAGGGAGATTCAGGCTGGCTGTGAGGCAAAAGTTGTTTACAATGAGGGTAGTAAAATCCTGGCGCAGATTGCCCAGAGAGGTGGTAGATGCACCATCCCTAGAGATGTCCAAGGCCAGGCTGGATGTGATTCTGGGCAACTTGCTCTAGGTGAAGATGTCCCTGCTCACTGCAGGTGGTTGGACTAGATGAGCTTTGAAGGTCCCATGCAACTCAAGTTATTCTATGACTCTAAATATATGAATCTAATTTACCAGATATTTGAAAGACACATCAATCTCCTTGGTTTTAAACCTTCCAGAGTTCCCCCTCTGCAATAGAAATAAAGTAGAAATAACATGAATTTGAGATCCACGCCACTGTGACTGAAATGCTGAGAAACTAATCCTTAGGGCTAGGAAGGATATCAGGAGATCCTGTGCCTTTCAATGGGGTTTAGTAGCTGCAGTGTATACTACTACTGCTTTTCTACAGAATTAGTTAATCAACACTATTTCCTACATCTATCTAGAGCACCCTGGAGATTAGGGTAAAATATGCAAAAAGCAGGGATTTTAAAAATAGTATTTCAAACTAATCCCATCACAACAATGTATAAGAACTATAAAGCAGGACAAAGGTTATAGGAAATGGAAGTAACAAGAGATCTTCACACAATCCTCCAAAAGAAACAATGGCATGGGGAGAGAATTAATTCTTTTTTAACAATTATGGGGGAGTAAACACCACAAAACTACCTTTCTCACACTCTTACAAAGATAACTCCATTTTCTTCATGAACAAATGTTTGATTGGAACCTGGAAGCAAAGTTCTCTAGATGCTCTAATCTAAAATTTGCACTTTTGAGTTTTTGGTCTTCACTGGAATCAATGAGTTGCTGTGTAAGAAAGACATAGCAAATTACATGAAAGGAATTACTTAGGAGTATAGGTTTTGATGTACTGATACAGTTATATACAAGTCCTTTTATGAGGATAAAATAATTGTATGAACACTAACAATTTCAGCCTCATGGTGCTTTGGCAATGTAAGCATTATTTCCATTTTATATACAAGTAAAAGAGACACAGCTAAGTGGCTTAGTGACCCATAGGAAGTCAGTGACACAACCAGGAATAGAACCTAGACCTCTCAGCAGCTAGTCCCATGCTTTAACCACAAAAGCAGCTACCTCCTTCCTATCTCATATTAGCACAACTCTAAGTCTCGGTTGCATCAGCTGCTAATTTAAGATGTCTAAGCATGTACTGTTGTAGAAATCTGACTTTATGAAGTTGAGTAAGTCACATTCATAAATCTGTTTGAACTTAATCACCCAAGAAATCAGGATAAGCTGTCTTTAAATGAGACTCAAAATGGTCATAAACTTTTGGTTGCTTTAAAGTTTTTCCTTCAGAAATACATTTCAGATGGATTAACAAATCTGATAGCAGTATATACTTGAGCTCTTCATTCCTATATATTCTTTTGCCTACTACCTGTGTGCGATATGCAATTTGGACCTGTTTGATCAGAATGGGACTAGAACATGAAGGTAATATCCAATCACAGAAGAACCAGACAATCCTAGAGAGTAATTTATTCTCTTCAGGACAGTATGAAATCTATGAATTAACAGAATTTGGGATATCCTTGAGCCCAAGTAGAAGGATAAAACACATTATAATTAGAGGTAGGCAGCCTGGTATGATCATGGCTTTACTGAATTTAAAGCAGGCATGATTGGATTTTGTACTCTTTTTATCTAAGCCTCAAAGTTGGGGGAAAAGAGGATTATGTTTTGTTGACAGGGTTCTTGTTTTGACCGGCTCTACAGTTGTCTATGAAAATTCTGTATTATGCTTAGCCCTGTAAGTTTTCCTGGATCCAAGGCACAGCATGCAAAATGCAGTATAACAATACCAGAGTGCAATCTCCAAAGAGTTTGGAATCATACCAAGGGATAGATCTCTGCCATCACTTCAAGAAATGCGGTTTATACTATAGGTTTTGCCGCATACATGTATAAAATGCCACCAATAGTTTAAACTTCTGATTTCCTTCAAGTAAAATTATGCGTATAGAGAATGTGAAAACTGAAGACAGAAGTATGGTGGAACATTAAAAAAATACCTTTTACAAACGTATCTTCCCAGAACGAACCTGCCAATAAAGACGAATAAGATATGCTAAGATAAAGCTCTTGTTACTAGTAAAAGACCACCAGATATATAAATCTTTTTAGATAACATAACCCAAGAGAAAATACACAATCTCTTTAAAAAAAGGCAGCAATGTAATAGCACTATAGCTTACTTAAAACTCCCTTTCTTTAAAGCAATGCAATTTCCACAATCAAAACTTGTTCTTCTGACTGCTAGATTTACAGTCACACTGTTAGTCTCATGCTAGTGCATGAGATTGCCCTCTAGATGTTAAGTTTGGCTAGATACTTTTTCTTTCCATCCAGAATACTGAGATGGGACATGCTGTGTGATTTGTGATTTTAAACCTCTGTAATGCACCTAGAGACTTGGAGCATAGACACAGTGGAAACATCGAAATAACTACACAACAGTTGGAACTAGCCTATTTTTGCAAAGCGAGGAGAAGGCATAAATCTTTCACCTCTATATGCTTTTACAATTTCTGTCCTTCTCAAGTCAGTCTTAAAAATCACAGTATCACAGACAGAGTCTCTGATATATTGATAGTTCTAACCTCAGATCAATCCATAAAACCCTACCTAACACACTTTAGAACCTGTTGCACAGAAATTTAAGGGAGATTATATGGTCCATACTAGTACCCTTATCCACCTTGAGATTCCACAATGTATCCTTTCTCATTTCAGTGAGACTGTTTTTGCCTTATGATTCAATATAACCTGCTTCAAATTTTCTGGATAATTGAAATTAATAATAAATAGTAATAAGTGTATGTAGAAAGAAGGGTGTTTTTTTTTCAGAGGCAACAAACTCTTCAAAAAGACTTACCATGAAAAACTGAATTATTAAAGTAATACAAAATGTGATTCTTCTACATGGAAAGAGACAACTAAGGAGTTTATAGTCAATAAAATGCCCCAAGTATAACTTATCTTCTGTGAAAGATAAGTTATCTTCTAATTTTAAAACTAGAACTTAAAGGTCCTTCTGCTTGTCTTTGAATTTAGGGAAGAATTGCTCATGCTCAGGAAGGCCTGACCCTGACATTTCATTATTGTTTCATAATGCTTAAAGATCCCAGTCAAATTTAGGAATTCTCTCAGATAAGTAGGTGAGAAATTCTGCATAATCCAAAACCAGGCATCGAAATAATGCAAACAAAAGCTGTATGAGAAATTATTAATTTCTTTATTATCACCATTTCAATACTGTGTAATGAAACTCTAGAATTAATTATAGAATAGAAAATATATTTGTAGCCTATTTTGTTACTTTACCAATATGAAATGATTGGCTTTCTGTATTACATGTATGAAAAAACCCACTCTCTGTTAATACAGAAAACCAGATTGATGCAAGCTATAATAAGGCACATGTTTACCTTCCGAAGAAAATTTATGGGTTCTTCATCCCATTGTGGAAAATTATGGATTCTTCAGATTAAGTTTAGCTGTCTTTCTAAAACAGACATTTAATGAGGTACCAAATACTACCTAAAAATCCATGTCAAGCAGGAAATCAACGTAATTTTTCCTTTTCTATCTCAATCTGTTAAAAAAATATATTTACAAAATCTAATTTGTACATATGTCAATATTACTGTTTCTGCTTTGTATTTTATGAGTTCTGTTCAATGGATGAACTTGCTAAGAGAACATAATGCTTAGAACAAATAAAATGATATGGTATATGCAATACTTCTCCGAAAGCTCTGTTTGGCTGATTTCTCTTCACTGAATGATATATCCCTATTTGCAATTTAATTAAAATCTAAACTATGCTTTGCATTTCTGTTTTACTTCTGAATTTATTTCAAGTCTAGGCTCAAAGTATGAGTTTATGGTCATAGTCAGATATTCATCAATATATGTTAGGGTTTGGAATGCTCCCAGTTCCATGGAGTTTTAAAAAATTTGCATGTTAAAGCCCAGAATTTTGGGAGGGCTTCTCTATTAGTCAGACACTGAAACTAAACGGGTATGTTCCCCAGCAGTTTGCACAGAGAACAGCGTTGTTTCTGTTCTCAGCAGAGCTAAATCCAGATTCTGTGGAGGTGTCCAGCTAAGATCCTTCTTCTTTTAATCTTGTATTGAAACTTCACCTGAGGCATTGCTGTAGAATGATTAGAAATAGTCATAATTTTGGTATTTAACCCTGCACTGTTGTTAGATTATTTCACCCACGTTTGCCTGTTAATTCATCCATAGCATCTCGTGCTACTTCTGAGGTTTTGTTTTACTTGTTTCTAGTACCTGGTTCCTAACTCTGAGCCAGGGTATTACTGAACAGGTATTACTGATGTATGCTAAACAAACAAACAGTTTACAAAGGATTTCCAGGCTAAAAATTTTGGATGGGGGGAAAAGCATGGATTAAAAAAAAACCCAACCCAGCCCTTGATATGTCAAGGCAGAAGTAACACTTCAAGCCTATACAAATAGACAGCTAATTCTCAACAAAATTAGCACGAGGCTTCAAGCCTCTACAGACAGAAAGACTGTTCTCATAAACAAAAAGCTGTAGGCGATGTTAGTATCTATAAGTAGAGCAGGTATTTTGACGTATTCAACTCTAATCTATAAATTGCCTTCAGTATACAAATAATGAAGCAAATGTAGGCTCTCTTTCAAAATGCTCGATGACTAAGAACAATAATGAGGCGAAGTTCAGATCCTCTGAATCTCCTAGTGATGTCCAAGAGATCAAGAGTTTTTAAAGATAAACTGTTGTATCCTGGGGCATCTCGGCTTACAATATGACTCCCTAAAGCCTGTTGATCTTATGACTTTTTTTTTTTTTTTCCACATCTAACTTCTTTTTAAGAGATTCAGAGGTGAAATAGAGGGAGGCTACATGCTTGTTGGAACTTGCTCTCCACTGAGCCTTACCGAGCTCTGCCTGTACCATTTCTCTCTGCATTCCTGGAGGGACGAGGGAAGGGGGGATAATGGTGGTGGTGGGGGAGATAATCTGTAGCTATAAGAAGGTGAAGGGGAAAATAAATGCCATTTACCTCTGTCACTGCTAAGAATCTTTTCAGAAAAGCCTTTACTCCTGCCATAGTGGGGTGCAAGCTGCCGTGAGGTGACCAAGCCAACTACAGGCAGCGCAGAGTTAGCTGGAGAATGGGAATGCGAAAGGAAAGCAGATAGCAGCCGGGAAAAAAAAAAAAAAAAAAAAAAAAAAAAAACAAAACCACAACCCTGTATTTTCAGTTAACAGGAGATTACAGAGAGCAGAGATCAAATTCCAGACCCGCTCAGCGGCCCGCGGGCTGCCCTCAGGTACACTCCTGCGGCGTCGCTCAGCGAGCACGGACCCGGAGGGAAGTGGCTCGGGAGAACGGTCGCGGTGTAAAGAGGAGAGGCAGGAGCAGCGCAGCCGCCTCGTCCTCCTCCTTCTCGTCCTCCTTCTCCTCACGGTCGCGCTCCGGGGCCAGCTTCGCCCTGTCCCTCTCGGTGCCATGCCCGGCGGCCGCCGCCCGTACCTCACCCCGGGTCCCTCAGCGCAGTTACCTCAGCCCCCGCCCCGCTCCCGCCGGCGGCTCGCCCCTCAGCGCCAGCCGTGTGGGACGGAGGAGGCGGTGCCGGCCGGCAGGGGCGGTGCCTGCCCGGTAGGACGGGCCGAGCGGGGGAGTTTATCCCACTAGAAGGGAACAGTTTCTCTCGCTGAGGCTTGACAGCGCCAGGTCAGTGCGGGCAGCGGGGGACCTTCCCCTGAGGTGAGGGGGCAGAGCTCCGCGCTGAGGGAGACATGGCTGCGGTGGGGGGGGGGGGGTGGAGACGGGGGACTTCGTGAGGGGCGCCTCCGCCTGGAGAGGGGTGGCGGAGTTCGGGGGTGCTGCCGGCGGTGAGGGGAAGCGTGCGCGGCCAGGAGCTGCGCCCCGGGCCGGGTAAGAGGTTGTGGTGCCGTGGATGCTCGGAGTGGCGGGAGGGAAGGGTGCAAGGTTAAGGCGCTTTTCCCGGAGCAGCGGGGATAACCGGGGCGTGCGGGGCACGGCCCTGAGGGGACACGGTTCTGCCGGCGTCCGTGTGGGCGGGGAGAGCGGCCGGGGCTGCCCCGCGGCGGGCGTCAAGGAGGCGGCGGGAGGACCCCGCGGCCCGGGCTCCTCCAGGTGCGCCCCGCGGCTCTGTCCGGCCCGGCCCGGCCCGGCCGCCTCCCCCGAGCGGCGGGAGCTGGGCGCTGTGTCCATGGTGCTGCACTGGAGCAGGGAGCGAGGCTCGGGAGGGGAGCGGGTGGATAACCTGCCGCCGAGGTGGAGGCGGCGGGGATGGAGGGAGGTACTCGGGGCACACAGCAGGGCGCCCGTTCCTGCTACGCTCCGGGGAAGGAGCGGAGAGGGAAGCGCTGGTGCTCACCTGGCTCACTCAATGAATGAACAGCCATGTTTTTGGTGTCGTTCGTCCCCCCCCCCCTTAAATTTCTCAACCACAGAAAGCCGGGGAGCCTTTCTGAGCCTGCAACAACTGAGATGCTGTGTTGAAATATATTATGTCTTGACGGCATGCCTCAGGTTCGCAGGAGCATTTTGTAATCGGTGTCATTTCTCTCCAGGGTATTCTACAACTGGAGAGTGCAAGTTCCTGTGGTGTTGTAACTTTGGGGCACTGTGTACACACGACAATGCAGCGCTGACTTAACAGTGATGTATTTATTAATATCGGTGATGTAAGACTTGTATTTGTTCTGATGAAAAGCCCAGGACATGACAATACAGCGCTGACTTAACAGTGATGTATTTATTAATATCGGTGATGTAAGACTCATATTTATTCTGATGAAAAACCCAGGAACTTATCAATTTCTTCATGCACTGTGGAGTCTAGATTTCTTTAAATCAGAAGGATCAATTATAATTATAATTATCCTTGAGATATCTAGTGTTGTGTGGCTAGCCTTGTATTTGTGACCTGCTGCCTCATCTCTGCCAAGCTTTTGCTCTGGAACATGATTGAAATGTGCCATTAAAAAATGAAAATAAATCTGGTACTAATTAGTCCATAATTTAATCAGTAATTTACCTTTTAACAGGTTACTGTGACTTGTTACTAGTTAACTAAAAATTCCCAGTGTACACCAAGTGACGGTGTCACGGTTTAAGCTGAACTCAGGACACTGACACATGATACTCGGTGCCCTCCTTTGGAAAGAAGTTTCCTATGTTGTGCTCCCATTAATATCAGAATTTGCTGCATAAAGTCGCATGTTTGACATCATTATTCTTTTTGGCTGTCACAGAAAAAACTTGCTGCAAAAATTGCTTAGAGATTTAATTATGAGATTATAAGAAATCACTCAGCGGTGTGTTCAGTCATGTGGTATAAGCATGGACTTGTCAAGGGGACACAGCTGAAAAAATAGTTGGCATGGACTTTGAATGATAACCAATCAGAAATACAATTTAAAGGTATATTTACACAGGTTGTTTTTGAATTTGAATATTCTTAGGCATCGGTCTCATAAAATAGCTATTAACTCTTAGTGGTTGAGAGATTATACATGTCTAAACAGCCTTAAGAGAGGATGTATTTCTTAGAAATTCCTCAAATGTAAAATTCCTGGATAATATAATTTGTTAAACACCAGCATTCAATGCAAATTCCATTATCACTAAGCATGAAGGTGGCAAAATGTTAGAATTTAATTGAAGAATATTGAAGCTGTGCTTTTTAACCTTCCTTATGGCACTGATAAAAACACCCACTCTCAACATTGCCTCTAAATCTGACTCTTCCGTGAGCTTTTTGAAGCAACCAGATGTCCAATTTAAAGTCAATAACATAAATTTAGGTTCAGCTTCATTACTCTCAGTACAATTTTTCTGCTTATACCAGTGGCTAATTAAATGAATTTCACAAAAAGTTATAGTGTAAAACCAAGGAAAAGTTTAAAAGTAGGACAAAAAAACTGTCTTTAACAAAGCTGGACTAAATAATGATAGTATACTTAATGATTTTTTTCCCCACCTTGATTGCTGAGGCTCTCTTTGGGGCTTATTTTTTAACATACAATCTGTTAAGATTGGTGGTGAATATATTTTCTAGCCAGTTTTTGATAGCCTAATTGTAAATCGCTTGTTGTGCACCTATGATATTAAAAATTTGAGTTTCTTTTACTAGCTTTTGTCACAAGGATTGTTGCTGGATTCTCCTCTGGCATGCAGTAAAACAGTTTCCAGTGCAATTACTCAAGCAAAATTAAAATGTAATTAGAAACTCCCCATGCTAGGTTCTTTTGAAGTTATAGATACAATCCTTCCCATTAGTTATTGCTATTAGTTTTATTTATTAATCACTTATAGGCTTATTGAATTTGGCATGATGTCCATGCTGTATTTCCATAATGCTGTGTATTTCTTTAACAGCAGGGATCTATTTTTTGTACCTAGTCTATACCTATATCTATTTCATACCAAATGCTCTTTTTATATTACTTAACTTTTTGTGAACTAACAAAAGAAAAAGTTAGAAAAAATCCAAAGCAAGAGAACATTGTTGTAAACTCAGGTCCTACATACCCATCCCACAAGAAAAAGTTGGGGTTTCCATTAACTGGTCTGGTCTTAAGGTTTTCATTTAACTCTTACAGATCACTTGAAAAAAACCTCCCCATCACCCCCCCCCCCCTTTTTTTTGGGGGGGGAGGCTTTTCCAAGGCAGAATGAGAAATCAAAGAGCCGTAAGATTTGGTTGTCAGATATTTAGATTCCCAGGACTGTGAAATGTAAATGGATTCCTACATTCAATGGTAAACTTCTTTTGTCTATTCCCACACACACATCTGCTTTTTTTTTTTTTTTAATTTTTAATAGGAAGTACAGTCCATCTTTTTTCAGTTGTGTTTTCTGTCAGGTTCCAGTGTCAAAGCGTGTAGAAAATGCAGTGCAAAGCAAATTGCAACCCTACTACTAGCACCTGTGGTGAGGGGGGCTTGGGATGCTTTCACATCTTGCAGGCATAAGGAGACATGAAGGAGAAAATACATGTGGCAACCATAGGAAAGACTACATTTCTACTTGAGCATCAGGTCTTCTACTGCAATACGGACTTCTCTTTTGCCTGTTACTACAAAGATGTCAGCTCTTCTCACACCACAAGGCAAATATTTGCTTTTATTTATTCTTTGTTATTAAAGTGGAGGGGAAAAAAGTCTGTCATGTTTCTGAATATACCACAGTGCCCAGCTCGTGTGAAGATATGTACAGTAACAGCTCTTCATGGTTACATGTGTGATCCTGCCCCTCTTCTGGCAAAGCTCATGTACTCAGGCAGGGATTGGCACTGGACTGGATCTGCAGGTGGAGCAGAGCCCACACCACCTGAGCTGCTGCAGAGGTTAAGCCAAGGCTTTCTTAAAGAGAAAACCTAGAAACATACTAGTGTGAGGTGCCCCTGCGCATGGCAGGGGGCTGGAACTAGTTGATCTTAAGGTCCCTTCCAACCCAGACCATTCTGTGATTCTGTGAAATATACAATTAAACCTATTGTAGGCTTTATTCTTTTAGTTTGGAGGTAGGGGGAAAAGCAGCAGCAAGGTCTATTCTGCAGTCTTCATATCTAAGAATTTTTGCAGACCTTAAGCCAATTTGATGAGGTTCACATTTTTCTCCCACTCCACCCACACCTTCCATTATATTTCTTGGCCTGTTTGTCCTCTCCTAAACCACTCTATAGAACTGAAAAATTACATCATTCTCTAATTAAAATTCATGATACGTGAACTATATAGATATTTTTAATTACCTGTGTTGCATTAGTACCTAGCAGCCTAGTCAAAACTGGGGCCGTCTTGTTACTCACTCAGATGAAAATGTTGTACCTATTCATAATACTACATGCATGAGAATGCATATAGTTACAGATTTACAAGAGAGACACACTGCAGTAGTGAGATTGATGCAAAACTTTTAATTTAACCTTTCAGTGTGTTGATTTATGCTTACAAAAGTAACAGATTCTTACAAAGTTAATAGATTCTCGTCTGTGTCATAACAAATATGAAAAGTTAGGTTCGTGTACGACAACAAATCCCCAAACTTATAGAAAAAAAACCCCTAAACTTTTAAGCAGCACCTACCCTATTCTCTAAATATAGGCTGGTTTTAGTTTGCAGTTTCACTAGATT